GAGGTCCGGGTTCGATTCCCGGCGCTACCAGATTCTTTCTGAGAAGTAGTGGGTCCGGAATTGGGTCCACTCAGCCTAATGAGGATAATTGAGGAGCTATTTCAAGGAAATAGCGGCTCCGGTCTAGAAAACCGAAATTAACAGCCTTTGGGATTCGTTGCGCTGACCATGCAACACCCTCCATCCGCTGAGTTTGGCACTAACTTCGCCAACAAGCGGCAGTTGCTCGGTCGGTATAGTTTGCTTGCGGACTAAAATCATGGAGTTTTCTTTCATGCTTTAATCAGTCATGCTGGAATTTGATCACTATCTGGCGATTTATACATTTACAACTGTGCAATAGCAATTTCAAACTCAAAAGGACTAGGATCGGGCACTAACAGCTGAGATGTATGTATTTCTGTCTGCCTAACATCACTGCCCTATGTACATTCAATAAATGAGTAATTTTTTCCATCTATTCAAAATGTTGTGGGAATCTGCAAGCAGATCACCACTCCATTCTTCACTAAGTTACTTCTAGCTTGGTAACCCTTCTTAAAGTCATCTATTCTCCTGTCTGTAATTTTCTTGTTCTTACTGTTCATTGCAATTTTGAACGTCCTTCATCAAACCATGGCTTATGCTTATTCAGTTCATAATAACCTAGAGTATCTTTGGCTCAAATTTTGATATTCCCTCTAACAGTTTCCCCAGCTTTGTTAATATCCACCTCAGCCTCTGAGTTTTCCAAAACCTGCAAATTTATTTGAGATTTCAACACGATACTGCTCTTTACCCTCTACCTCGTTTAATTTTTTGAAACTGAATCTCTCATATGAACTCTGTGCTTTGTTTGTTTTCTCACTTCTAGTCTCTTCCTAACCACCAGATAGTGGTCAGTATCACAATCTGCTGCCCTGAACGAATGGACATCAAATATACTTGAATGCTGTCTCCTATCTATCAAAATATGGTCAATTTGGTTGTGCGTCTTTCCACAAGGAGATGTCCAAGTACATATATGAATGTTATGATGTTGGAACATTGTACTTTTGACAATAAGATTTTTGGATGGGCAATTCTTCTTACGTTGTTACAAATGTAGCAGTTGTACGAAGTACAATATATGTTGACAGCATATAGCAAAAACACTCCCTAACCTCTTCATGCTATGAGGGAGTCAGGAAATAGTTCACAAGTGGAAGTAAAACTGCTGTAATGGGCATGTGGGATGCAAAATCTGGTGGTGAAGAGAAACAACCATGTAAAACTGTAACAAATGTTTACTGTTGTTAGAACGAATATTACAGACAACTGGGGAAGCAGAGCGTGCCTGATGAATACCGATGAAAACTCCCTTTGTAGTGGAGTTGCCTGAGGTAGTGACTGCGTTCTTCCTTGCAGCAGTCCAGTGACTGCAAGCCAGCAGGATGCCAGTAGCATGTAGATGCAGTAGCGGGCTAGCCGGTGCTAGTGGTGGCAAGGCTGTCTGGTTGGTGAAGCTCCTGTTGCTGGCTGGCCTGATGAGCATTGGTGATTGCTGACAGAGTCAGCTGCCATGCTTGATACCAGTACTCGCAGCTGCGGGGTTATCTGGATGCAGGTTAGAGTGTCGGAGGTCCGCAGCTTTATACTTCTGTTGCTGGGCGTTGGAGGTGCAGTGGTAAGCACTGATTTGGTAGTGCTCGATTCACTGTGGGTGGTTCCCAACATCACCCACCCATGGAGATGGTTGCTCAGATGTTGAAGTGGGCGGGGAAATGGATGTGATGACCGGAGTGTGTGGTTTGTATGAAGGGTTGTGGCCAAGTGATAGATGATGCTATGGCCAAGGTTGCATCGACTGGTGGATTGAAGGTATTCATTCCAGCGGTCATTACCATTGAGGATGTAGGCCTGCTTGACCCTGTCAGTAGACATGGCAATGCCCCTCCCATGTCTGAGGAGTTGCAGTGTCTTCTCTCTCCATGAGAGGACCTGGTAGGGGCCAATGTATGGGGCTCCTAAGCCCAGCACGCATTGTGTCCTACTACCGAAACTGGTCTGAGGTGAGCCATAACCTGGTGGAGCTCGGTGATGCAATGCACTGGGTCCACTTGGTTGGCAGTTGGAGTAAGTAGCTCGTTGGGGATTCCTAGGAGCTCGCTGTACACCAGCTCAGCTACTGATGCCTGCAGGTCCTCTTTGGATGCCATGTGGATTCCAAGGAGAACCAGGAGAAGTGCCTCTGTCTGCTGTTAGTCCGTGTGGCACATGATGGCTGCCTTCAGTATCCAGTGGAAGCGTTCCACGAGTCTGTTAGCTACGGGGTGGTGGGTGGTGGTATGTGAGAGCTGGATGAGACACAGCCTGGCCAGAGATTGGAAGAGTTGGGATTCAAAGTGAAGTCCCTGGTCGGTAGTGGTCTGCGGCAAATGAAGCCGCATGATGGATATCCAGCCGGTCAGTACGGCGCGTGCCACATCAGCTGTGATGGGGATGACTTCTGGCCAGAGTGCGAAACAGTCAACTGCAGTGAGGCAGTATGATATTTTCAGTTTTCACTCAAATAGCCTCTTATATATTGTCACGTGTTGGGTGTATAATGCGACAAATAACTTCACGCCTTATTGGATATAGCGAATTTTATTTCACATTCGCTCTTACAATCTCACAATTACTTGGCCTGCGAAGGCTAGACTACAACTGACTGGTTGACTGCCCGGCTAACTCGTAACTCATAACTCAAGAACTTGAGAACTAACTCGTTCACTTGAGAGCTGTAACTGACTCGTAGGCTTGCTCGGAACTAACTGTGAATAGTCTTCGCTGCTCCATATCTAGCCTCGTTCCAGACAACACAGAACACAGCCACGTAATAGCTACCACTGTTATTACCGTCGTCTCTCGCAACCACTGCTGTCTGCCGCCGTGGTAGCCGGTAGCCTAGCAACACTGTTGGGAGTTGTTTACCGCTACGTACTTACTGCGGCATCCCGAGTTACGTCACCGCTGTTGACTCGCGTTGCATAGCGACCAGTATGCTGGGACTCGGCTAACTTCGGCTCCGCTTAGCACGTCATGGTTGGGGGGGGGGGGTTATCCACAGCGCAACACATCACAATATTATTTTCAGTACTTTCCAATTCCTAAGCAATGGTACAGAAATGACTCCAAGAGGAATCACATAATAACCAATTCTTGATCTTAATGTTTCATTTTACATTATAATCTTCAGTTTACTTACATTTACTTTCCATTCTACAAAGATACTGCTCAAGTGATCACACAGTAAAAAATAACTGTGTTCTTATTTTGATGTCACCTTCCCTTCATTTTGGAGTTAACCCCTTTACAATTTTACAGACTATCAAATACCTAATACAGGCAATTACTGCAGCCAGGCTTTTGAATAAAATCTGTGTATGCACTGTGGCAAACAATTTTTATAGTAGACATTAAAAGCATGTAACAGTGAAAAGATTAATATCAGATGAATTTCGTTTACTAAATGGCAGTGTCAACTGTCTTCAAACTTGATACACAAATATTGCTTGTAGTTCTATGACCACATTCTCACTTAGTCACTGAATGTGTTAAGTACATAACTGTAACCTCTGTAAGCATTTGCACATATGAATTTGTAAATTTATATATAATCCAATGAATGCCCCCCCCCCAAGTATGGTTCCTTTTGGGAGCAGTCAATTTGAACATTAAACTGAAGACGACAATCTCAATAGAGGACATAGGGGACAATTTAACTCCTGTATTACCTTGGGATCATAGAAAACTGAACTTCAAACGACTGAAAACCTTAAAGTGAGGTTCTACTGTGGAACCCCATTTAAGGTTTCTTTGGGGAGCAATGGAACTCAAAGTGGAACTAAGAAGGGTAGAAATTTATGACTTGGGATCACTGAGACTGAATGTTAAATAATAGAAAAATTGAGGAAAATACAAGGCAGTTCCATTGTACTGTTTGGCAACAAGTAACAAAACAGCATAATTATCTACCTCCAAACAAAAATGACCCCATATTCCTCAATGGTGGAAAAATTTCAGTTATCTTACAAACAACAGAATTTTAGGTTGACAATCTCTGATGCACCATTTCACTTATTCTGACCAAATCTGGCATGATCGTAGACAGCCTCCCTAAAGAGGTTTCAGGCACTTGAAAGTGTACATAGGTTTGAGTCCAACTTATTTCCTCATTATTTCCTCTGAAAGAAAAGCATGGGGATCCTGAGAACAATGGGATTGTTACTGGAAGGGGGGTGGAAATATCTTTTGATGTTACTAGGATATGGGAGAAAACCCAAAATATCTTCTATCATTGCTACTTTGATTATCAAATTTTGTATTTTTATATGTTCACATTACTGCTGGGAAATGCTGGGTAGATCTACTAGCACTATGTAACTGTAACTGTAGCAAAAGGGATTCATCATACTTCATCGTCAATTCTTTACAGCATGTTTGTTTATCCATATTATTATTTTAAGATCTGACGGAGTTCTCTCTCATACACAAAGAAACAGGTGCATTTCTAGCAACACCAGCCAAAAACATTTTATTAAATTTCAGTACCTTCATATCTTATTATCTAACTTTCAATAATACAGAACTTGCTACTTCTTGGTGTATCACTGTCAGACACATGTTAATGCCTATTGATTCAAGGTGTTCTGAATGAGATAAGCCTACATTTACTTTAACCATTTGCCTCAGTAAAAACCATAAACTAAGAATCCAGTCACTTTTCATAAAAGTACATACACTCTGGAAGGCTTACATTTTTTTTATCAATATTTTACTATAAATAAGAACGACGGAAGTGCAATAAAATATCCATCTTAAACTGCATAGATCCAGAGGCTGGTAATGTTCTTATGAACCATACAGGACATGGATGCAATAATTATGCAAACCTTTTCTGTAAGTAAAAGACACTGGCATAAACCTGATAAGAAAGTGTCAACATTTGACTTCAAATATGAAAGGATATCCAAACATGTTCTTCAAAATTGTGACAATTAAGTGCCTTGTGTATCTCTGTCGTCATCGTGGTCATCATCATCATCATCAGAGCAACTTCCATCACTACTATTACTGCTACTGGTGTTACCATCAGGACATTGCTGCAACCTGTTTGTATTAACAAACAAAACATCCTTTTCTTCATCGTCCTTTCTTTCTTGAAACTGCTCTGGCCACCGATGGTTAGCCTGGAAAAACTTCACATGTTCTGATGTAAGGATTGTAACTATTTCAGCTTTAACTTTATCTCCTTCAGCAATTGGTTCCACTAATACAAAGTCACCACGTTTAATCCAGACATTATGGCGGAATTTGGTTGGCATTGATATGAGGAACTGTGATCCTGCAGCATCTTCAACCATATGGAGATTATTCCCCCTACTAGCAAGCACACGAACTACCTCTTGATTATCTGCTGGTAATTCCAAATCATCCAGAAGCACCTCCTTGATTACATGCTTCCTTTTAGTTGCTCGTGACATCTGGAAAAATCAAAAGTGACATTCATCACTGACTACACGTCAACAAAACGTCTCAGGAGGGGAAAGCCATTAAAAGATGGTAAAAGTAAAGTTAACATCTGTGCTTGCACTATGCTACAAGCAGGAAGGTCTGAGTTGGATGCCCAATGAGGACATTGGATTTTTCAATTGACCTAATCCTTCCAGAACACACTATGGCTCTGGAGTCAACTCAGCCCCTAACAGAAATGAGTACCAGAAATTTTCCTGGGGGCTAAAGGCGGCTGGCCCATAAAGCTGACAACCTCACCACCATCTGTCAGCTGAATTTCTAGAAAATGTGGGAGCTTCGACATCTTATAACTCCATGGCGCCTCCATGGCTTGTTACAGGGATAGCTTTATCTTTTTTTATATTTTTACAGTCAAGAACTCACCAAATGATGGACATGTGCAGTCATCTAGTCTTCAGCTACTTTACTCCAGGGAAAAAAGCCTGGATTGTATTACTTATTGGGTGTTGACCCCTGAGCCACCCTGTCCCAACTAGTGCTCCTAGTAAAGCGAAAAAAACTTCAGTATTCTCTAATTTTAAAATTTTCATTTTAATTTTAATTTTAAAAGAATAAGGACCTGATACTGTGCTGCCTGGTCAGGACTACCACACACCTGAGAGCAATGACAGATTAGTATGCAGCAATGGTGAAATAATGATCAGCAAGGGAAAAGTGAAGAAACTTGGAAAAACACCCAACTGATTGTTATTTGATCCACATTTTTAACATCACACAAAGTCACCTGAGATGGAACCTGAAGTTATGCAGTGAGGAGCTGCCTGTGGTAAGGTACAACACCAAATCACTGCACTGACTAAAGTAAAACAAAATGCAGGCTCCAGTCTTTTGGAGATATGGAAAAGTATTAATAACAAAGTTAAAAGAAAGGCTCTCGTACTGGAGCAAGAGGAGATCAACACTAACAGAAAACTAAGCAATCTGCAAGTCATCTCTTTATGAAATACAGGTCTAGTGGCTTCCCTCAGAGTTAGTTTGTGTGTGACCCTTGCTCCTCTTACTGTATTATCATTATCTATGTCACAAATTAATCCTCTGAACCTCAACAAAAGAATAAATCATTATTTCTGATTCAAATCTCTGTCACCCTTAGCAATCTCTCCCAGTAGTTCCATTCAGAGCACGATAAAATTCAGAACTTCTGCGCCTACCTATCCATGGCAGGAAGGGTTAAAAACATAAACCTGTAAACATTTATGCATGGACACCAAGTTGTGTGTCATGGATTGTGACTTGTCTGTATGCTATGAGGCTTACATCCTCAGACCTTTAGCCAAAATGCTTATGCATATCTATGTAAAGCTTTAATTCTGGACACGTGAAAATCTTCAATTAAAGTAAAATTATGCAATTTGAATCTTTCAACATCTTCAAATAATTCATAATCTCTTCATTCAAACAATACATTTCCCAAAGAGGACAAATAATTTTCCTCTGAAGTTACTGAACATGAACTTCTCTTGTAGAATTTTCAATAAAATTTTCACCATCATTAGATGGCAAGGTAATTTTCTTGTTAAAAAGTAAAAAGTAAAGGTATCCTGTAACATGTCATGGAGGCCTATAGGGTTGTGAGATGTTGAGGTTCCTACATTTTCTAGACAACTGGCTCATAGATGGCGACAAGGCTGTCAGTCCTATGCACCGGCTGGCCTTTACCCCCAAGAACATTTCAAGAATATTCCTGGTACTCATTTCTGTTAGAGACTGAGTCGACCCCAGGGCCATAGTGCGGCTGGAAGGATTAAGTCAATTGAAAAAATCCAAAGACCTCATCGGGACTTGAACCCGCGACCTTCCGGCTTGTGGCATAGTGCCTCAACCAACTACACTACCGTGCCCCCATTTTCTTGTTAAGTGGAGACAAATTCTTTCTTGCCTTTTACTGATGAAGGGATATATTCTTTGGTATTACTCAGCTGTCCTTTTTAAACTTCAGTGATATCAGCAGGTCTGCAAGAAAGACCACGCAAAGACATCATTAGCTGGTGTTGCTACACACATCTGTTCATGTCACTACATCATTACCACAATCTGTTACTCCAATGTTAATACCACTAACTCTGTTTTCTTCTACTGAAGAGCTAATGTGTACTAACGTAAACTGAAATGGCCTCAACAACAAAATCTACAACTTCTGATTATGTGCAAAAAATATCTTATTTAAAGTCAGGCATTAGATAGTTCATTAGTAATAAAAAATCATTAAAATTTTCTTATATTAATTACAATATGTTAAAGTATGCACTACTACCTCTTCTTTAATCTCTCGTTAGCAACTTTCAGGCCTCCACCAGCTTTATGCAGTGCCTGGTAGATATCCAGAGATTCTCCCTGAGGTATGCCATAGCCTCTGCTAAGGCCATGTGGGTTTGATGGTGTGCAACAGTCCTGATGTGCCTCCTTTCTAAGAACTGTGTCCACTTCCACTGAGGCAAAGAATGCTACAGACTGTGGCAAATCATACAGACCCAACTGTCGCGCAAAGAATGCACGAACTAATAGGTTGGTCACATGTAAGGCAAGAGCAGCTTGATATTTCTGTTCATCTGGCACGAGGTATCGAACTTCATCATGAAAACTGATGCAAAATCGGGTTCGAGTATCAAGCAGCCAACGCATGCTAACCAACATGAGATGTAAGAAATCCACAGCACCACTTTGAACAACCCAGTTTACACGTGTTGGCAGGTAACGATCATCCACGCCATCCTTTGGCTCTAGAGCACGGCTTAAACGTCCACCAAGGAATGGTGTTACAGGTTCTTTGCTGTTTGCAATCTCTTCCAGGCAGTTGAACATAGCTGACTCTGTGCCACCAGTCCACTGAGGGTTCTCAAACATTTCTTCCAAAATGACACCATGTTTGGCACTAAGTTTCAATGCTTCTGTCATTGTATACACGCGATCTTCGAAAATATCACAATATGATTCCTTAAGTCGGAACTTTCGCTTCCCTTTGGTCAGTGTGAACATTTTGCTAGCCTTTCCTTTGGCTTCATTATCTGACATCGCTGGGTTGAACTGCTTCAAAAGTCTTTCAGCAAACTGCTGACCAGCACCATAGATTCGAGCATAATTGATCACCTTCGCATGGTCTCTTGAAATGCCCACAGCTTTTGCTGTAACACTATGCATGTCAGTTCCATCTGCTTTCCTGCCACTGAGTGTCATCCAACCAAATGGTGTAGCCCCATGCATTTTTGCAAAGTGGGCATCTCCAATTACAGATGCTATCCACAATTCTTGAGAATCCACATCGGCACCAACAATGCTATAACCTGGTGGAGCTTGCACCATGGCACGCAATTCTGAACCAATCCTTTCCTTGTGAGCATTTGAAGCTGTCATCCACGTTGGTTCCACAGCTCGACGTGTTAGTGTCCCACAGACCACCACTTGTGGTATTATAGCACCAAATTCAGTATCCAATTCATGCAGTGATCGTGGTAGGTCTCGCATTCCCAACCACACTACAAGTTGTTGTTCAATACGATCTCGATTGTTTCTCCAGTATGATAACATTCGCCCAATTGCCAGAACTTTCTCTGCTCCTGCATCAGCACCAGCCAATACATTCTCAGAAAACTTGTTAAGAAAATCCTTAGCCAAGGGATTACCAACTCTGTGACTGCTCCCATCTTTATGGGGAAGTTTCAAGAACCAACAACAATCCCCTACATCTACACTGCACCAGACACCAGTGCCTCTGTACCAATTTGGAATCTCATCTCTCCTCCTGATCTTATTGAAAGCTCTTGCTGACACATTAGCCTCTACAGCCTGACGGAGGTTTAAAAGAGCAGCCTCACTCTCATTAGCTCCTGCAATTAAACGGCTTTCACCAGGAATGGGGAATTTTTCTAGGAGCTTTTTGAGAGGAAATTGTGGGGATGTGTCACTCACATTATCAATGCTAGTACGATATGGAACTAGGAATCCCCAGCCGTGCCCTCGCACATAATGCAATGGATAAGATTCCCATGTGAGACATAGCAGCTTTGGTGTGATCTGCATGGATGTACTAATAAGCTGAGGTCCAGGAGCCCAGTCAGGTGCACTTGACTTAGGGCACAGTTTCTTATACCACGTTGGGTAGCCAGGAAGATGTGGCATTTTAGCAGGAAGCAGTTTTTTGGTTTCTGTGAGATAATCAAACTTATCACTTAACTTTTCGATTTCATTAAGACTGTCTTTGTCAATATAATGGTTTGGACTATTTCCTCCAATTTCATTAGATGTGTGCATATCTTGTAGGTTACGACTGTTTCTGCTTGTATTCCTCCTTGAATTCTCATTGCCATTTAATTCCTGAACCCTGTCATGTGAATTCTGGGAGCTCTGCTTATTAGAATCAATTTCTTTGTTTCCCTTGATAACAGACTTCTTAAGCTTTAACTCTTGAGTACTCCAATCTTGATCCCACATCCAGAGATCTTCACGATACCTATTCTCATGCAGCATTTGACAAGCCTCATCTGCTCGCCGGGCCAATAAAAATCTTGCTTCACTGTCCAAATCATCAAAGGTCTGTTGGGCATCTGTCAAGTAACGATTCCAATTAGAATTGATTGGCAGATAGGCAGTACTAAGCTCCAACATTCCAGCTAATGAAACAGGATGAGGGAAACGGGAGAGGAAAAGAGGTAACAATTCTCGTATAATGTTATGAGTGGCAATAACATCTGCAGCACAGTACTGCATCACGGTCTGAAACTGCCTGACAACATCTTCTAGTGTGCCATTAATGAATACATCCCTTGTCATCTTATCCAGAGCTGTTCCACAGTACAATTTGTGAACCTCACTCAAACTGTTAAGAGAACTATAATTTCGCCATTCTTCATCTTCCTTGTTAGCTTCCACATCTAACTCATCAGCATTTGCTACAGATGATTTCAGAAGTGCTCTCTGGTAACTTGTCACTCCACTAACACACACATGAAGTGACATGGTATCAACAAATCGCATACCAGTACTTTCAAGCCAATACTGTTCTTTTATTCGGGCTCGATCATATGAAACATTGTGTCCAACTACCACTCTTTGTTTACTAATCCCATGACCTACACCCCGCTGCAGAGGGCCACTCTCTAATGGAATCAAGTCTTTGGTTGAATAATGTCGTCCAACAGTCCCACTGCTGCCACTAATGACTGCATCGCTCACCCAAGCATACCACGCATGAGGACTAACAGCTGTGGCTATAGTTGCTGCCTCTCCTGCAGAACGGCAAACTTCCACATCAAACACAAGTGCATCTTCCTCTGGAAAGGGGACTAATTGAGGAGATATATCTTTACTGTACTTCGTCCAACCTGGCTGAAGAAGCCATTCTTTCGGTGCTTCTGGTAGGTGACCAACCAGGTCTTCAAGAAGAATTCTATATGGGCGACTTTGTTGTTCACCTATTATATAGAAGTGGTTCTGCAGATTACCACCCTCTAAGGGAGGAAGTTTGAAGTTAACATCTTCCACACAGGCCTTCTCTGATGAAAGAAGTTCATGTTTTTCCAGTTCTTCTTGCGCCCTTAAAACTTGTTTTTCAGTTGGCCTTATACAATTCTCATTTCCAAATAGCTGCTGAAACAAGCCTTTTGATAACATCTGTATTTTCACTTCATTTATCCTTGGTGCTTTATCTAATTTCTCCATTCTTTCTTTCATGTCACATTTACTTCTCTCATTATCTTTATGAATTTTTTTTGTGCCATGTTTTAGTTCCTTTCTCTTCTTAACAGGGGGACTCTCAATGGATCCACTGAATTTCTGTCTACTAGATCCATGGTTGGCAGTCATCTTTGGTTCAACTCTTTTTGGAGTTTCAGATAAGGTGCTGACACTATGGGGTATGCATTCAGACAAAGCCAACTCGAGACTTCTGACTGCAGCAAGTTTGCTACTTCTTTGAACATTTAATTTATGATGAGTAGCTACGTTTTCTGGTAAGGTTATATTTTGATCTGCTACTGGAAAAGTCTCTGACAGACTTCTAACTTTCTCTTTCATCTGTCCACCACTGACTTTCGGCGGATCACCCACATTCCACACATATCGCAATGATGAAGCAATGTGAGAATGTTCAGAAACAAACTGGCCTCTCAAAAAACAGCTGCGATTCCCTAACATGGGGTGGAAGCTGATAATTCTTCATGCACCACAAATATCTGATTCAGAATATTTGTTCCTGACCAACTTCAATTTCTTGACGAAGCAATATCATGATGTAACTGCAACAGCAGCGTAGATACTGGATTAACATAATCTTATACAGATATTATTACAGGATTAAATTAGACAAAAGGCAATTTTTTGATGAGGACAAAAAAAAAAGACTGCTAAAGAGAAGAGCACTACCTTAAATATTCTCATTATATGTGCATAAAAAAGTAAAGCTATCCTTGTAATATGCTGTGGAGGCCCAAAGGGTTGTGAGATGTCGAGGCTCCCATATTTTCCAATCAGCTCACAGATGGCGGTGAAGTTGTCAACCTTACATGCTGGCTGCACATTGCCCCTAGGAAGATTCCTCGTACTTATTTCTGTTAGAGGATGAGTCAACCTCACGGCCATAGTGTGGCTGGAAGGATTAGGTCAAGTTAAATTCTAATGACATCAGGCATAGAACCCGCGACTTTTCGGCTTGTAGCATAGCACCCTTATATATGTGCATAAGCTTTGGTATCCATATGACTGCTCTGTTAATATAAAAATGGTTATATGGCATATTGTTAAGCATATTTTAGAGATATTATGCTCTTAAAACTGAAATGGAATAGTCATACAAGGACATGAGGTAAACATACTATACACGTATACACTGCATTTGAGCTATTAGGTTCCTTCATTGGTTCCTTCATTATGTAACTGCTCTCCTTCCCTGGTGATGATATTTCCAAACAAACTACACTTAGAAACAAGTTGTACTGCCTGCTAGCAATGATAGGTAACAAACAGATCATAGCAAAATACAGAGTTACAAATACCACCAATGGAGGACTACCAGATTTAAGGAATGCTTTCTAAAACATTTTGGAATACCTTAGAAGGTCAGGCAGCTTCTTAAGCAGAATATACTCTTATATTACTCCAACCTGCCTACAAAATATTCTTCATTTGTATGCTATCTAGTCCATGTCTGATGGAGCCCTATTCCAAGTATGAAAGTTGGTGCTGACTGAGATTAGACAGTGGAGTTCAGTCAAATTCATAGGTTTGATTTCAAACTGTTCTTGTAGTAAGCAGACTGCTTAGCTTTTCTCTTCAATATTAGCATTCAACCCCTATTCAGTAGGTTGCATAGTTGACCATATCCGCGATATGAGTCTGAATCTTGGTGTTAGTAGGGGAAGCACACTCTATATCCTTTTAGACATCTCTTATCTGAAACTGATCCACATACCCGAAATCAGTTGATTATTCTCGTTATCGAGTTGTTAAGAACTGCAGAATCCGGATATTTCCGATGAAACACGTCTGCGACATGTGCATAAGGACTGGCGAAATAAAGTTCCACAATGAAAACTCATTGTTCTTGGGAAAACACTATGTCTGTCACACAATAAACACAGCTATACTGCAGATGTCATATGACCAATACACAACAGATGGCATTTCTACTCGTTGTTAGTACTCCTACAGTACCATCTAGCGGTAGGAGATATAATTATATTAACTGCAATACAATTTATAACAACTTTATTTTGACGTGCATGACTTTTTGATCTCCCTGTACTTTATGGACAGTGACATTGAAGTGGAAGACTGCAGAACTTTAGTTTCATGTTCTTTTGTATGTAAGCAGTAACAGCCTACCTAGCCACTGACAAGTATCACGTGTTGTGAAACTATTCAAGCCTAAAAAACATTTGCTCAGAAGCTGTGACACAAAATTGGCAGAAATTAGGAAAACTATATGGGTAGACTTAGTTACTCACAATAAAACCATGCTTCATTCTGGTAGGGAACACACTGATGTTGTACTGTCATAGTTTTAGAGTGACTAAAGACAAGACACATCCAACAATGTTGGATCATAAGCCACATCATAAGACATAATACACACAACATTAGAAACATAAGAAGAACGACTCCCATGTGGATGATCAATAATTCACACGAATTTAAAATATGACGAATGAGATAATAGGTTTTAACAAGTTTTAAATACATAAACATTATTATTATATAAGGATGTATAGAAATTTAATATTATTTGTAGATAGTATTTACAAGCAGTGAAATAGTTGACGGATCGATACACCTGAAGATGGCAGCATACTGCCGAAACATGTACTGTAGAAGTGGTAAATGGGATTGTATGCACTTGAAGACTGTTAATACATATACATTATGAAGGTCTGGATTGGTAACTGGATTTATTCAGCTCCTACAGAACTACAAATAACTACAAGAGTGTGAGATACACACTCTAGAGATCACTGTAACTACAGAAAATATAAAGTCTTCTCAAGCACACATAAAGTCTCTTCAGTTTTCCCTAGCCACTGCTCAGAAGTGACTTCCAATGGCAGACATTCCCCTTATTCTGGGTTCCCAAACTGTCCCTGGCCTCAGCTACACCAACTCTCAAATGACTTTAACTAACACTGTTCCTCTGTTGCTGCTTCCAACAGGTCTACATGCCACAGTAACAAGTGGAGTGCAAAAACCAAAGATAAATGCAGGTTGTAAAGGGAATATCTCTGCACTACTGCAGATCAGTGTTACCTCAACAGTGGATACAACCATGTAAAGAGATTTACTTTCACAGGAGTCTTTACATTTTGACTGCTGTGAATATCTAAGCATCAAAATTAATTTAAGCAAGTTACCTCTGAATATGACATTCAAGAATATGGAATCAAATTTCAGTGATTCAAAAACTGTAGGCTTTAAAATCACTGAATCTGAAAATGAAATTAGATGATAGGAGTAAAAGAACCACCATACAGCAAGTCATGTCACATACTCTCTTACTGTGTATACTGTACATTCTGCACAAGGCATATAACTGTGAAAAACCTCATTCTCAACAAGAATGGAAGTTCTCATAGCACCTTCAGATGATCAGACTGCTGCAGAAACCAGTGGCACATGGAAAATTGTACATATAAATATTAAAACTTGCAATGAAAAGTACTGCAGCCACTCAAGAATCCAGCAGAGAAAACACTGCTTCCAACAGCTCATCACGTGACGCATACTGAGCCATTCCCTGGCAACAGCTGTCTCTGCTGGCTTCACAGTTCTTCCTTTGAGCAAATGTGCCAACAATATACTACACCAAGCTGCTTCCAAAATCACTCTCTTATTGCCAGTCATATCTAGTCCATGAACGTTTAATTTCAAAGTGTATTATTTTCTTGCAATAAATAGTTTTAAAAGCTTTTCTCTTCAGTATTAGCACTCAACCAACCTTGGGCCTCTATGGACTGACTCCAATCTCCTTGCCCTAGCCTGTCTGTATACCAAAGTCCCAGGCATATACAAATTTGGAAAATTATGAGTGACATGCCTGAGTCAGAAAGCTTGAAACATAAAATTCATGCTACTACACCAAAATAATTCCTTCTAATTTGTAAAAATAAATTTATCATATTATAAAACCTATCAAAGAGGAAAGTTTACACAACACAGCATATGACCTCATTCTATGGCTAGTAGTCAAAATTACACACACACAAAGAGAATAGTCAACTGAATAAGGGCTATATAACTTTCCAAGAAACAACTATTTATGAAAGTAGTGTACCAGCTGTATAAGATTTATTTAGCAGTGTGAATGTAAACATAATGAAACAGTATACCTGCTTTCTGTAACAAAATAATGCATGGCTTAATTTTAATATGGCTACTGTCTTATAGATTTTTAGCAATCCAATACCTAATACATCAATATCACTAAGCTAATCCTACACATTACACTACTCTAACTTACTGTACATTTGGCAGTGGACCAGTGGATTTAGAAATACAACAGCTTGACTTGAATCAACCCTTCTGAAAAGAGAAATGAAGACAGAAGTGTTAATTATTACACTACTATGTTCAGAGTTCTTAACTGCAAAATGCTGTTAATTAACTCTGTCCTTAAAATCATGCCAATGCTCTGCCAGCTGTCGTGAAGAGGCCTTGCACAACATGGTACCGAATAATAGGATCACTTTTATTATGTGATGGGAGTCATTCTATGATATGTCAGAGTTGTTTTGACCAGATACAATTTGTGGTGAACAAAAAAAAACAGTGGAAACAGCACAGCAGCCACGAGCAAACCCTGGACGATATAAAGAACCTCCACATCAAGATAGCCAGGTGGCACAATATTTGCCCCATATAAGAGGGACGATGGGAGTACGAACATGAGCCTGCATGGTTTACGAATTTTAATTAATGACAATACATAAGTTTTTTAATAGCATCAAGAAATTTTATACAATTTTTTAAAAAACTTTACATTCCCAGGAAACTGCTGTGTTTGTTAAATGTTCTATTTTGTGTACTATGTTTTGTAGCATATAAGTGTACGTACTTTACGTCTAAACAACTTATGTGATGGTGGTTTCCTATTTGTAGTGATGTTTGCCCTCTGAAGATGGTCCACAGAGACGGAAACATGTAAGGGTGTTAAGTTTTCATGTAGTAAAAAACTTACAGGTCACACTGGACGGAGTGATTTATATTTGTAAAAAAAAAACATTCTGTTGAAATAGCCAGTCAAGAGAAGCAGCAAAAAAATATTAAAATGTACAGTGTGGCAGGCAAATGGTCAACCTACGGCTCTTTATGCTGATACCACCTCTGTTCTAACAATGTGTTAAATCGCTGCACCTCCCCCTCACACATCATCAACAATTTAAAAAGATGAGATGGGGTGGGATTTGTCTATCTTTTCCCGGGCCCCACGATGTGTTCCAAGGGAGTCAACCAGAAAACTTGCTACAATAGAGAAATATGTCACTATGTGTGACTGTAGACAGGGTATGGACTGCATATTGGGTTTACTGACCACTTTAACATATAACTCATAATTACAATTAATTATTGCACTATCATTAATCTATACACTTTATAGATCACATGCTAAGTCTTCTTTTCACAGGCTGACTTTCAGCTAACTGAACTGCCAAACCTCAACTTACTCTCTCAATTCCTTAATCACCTGCCAACTGCCAAGTCCAGAACTATCAATCCAATTCTTTTCTGCAGCTACCAACTATCTCTTTGTCATCTCTTCTCCACTGCCACTTCTCAACTAACTCTCAGAGTAAGAGTTACTTTACGACTGGTGGTTTACTGCCAATCAGTTCATCTTGATGCCAAGCCCCTCAAGACCTGTATTCTTTCTTTCAACTTAACACTTGCAGTTACAGTCATTATGTAACACCCTTTCTAATGAGGGGATGGATCTGTTGTTTACAATTGCTGCTGGCCCATACCAGTGCAGTCATTCTTGGGTCTGAGTTCCAAGGGACTCATGACCGTATTTTACTGCCTCACATTCAAGACTCCTACAACCTAGAGGGCCGGGTCCCTGTATTTGTGCCCTCCATGAACAGGGTAGCCCAGTTATACCCCCAGGCAATGGATTCTTTTCTCGTCACCTTCTATGACTCCCAGGGCTATGCTGGTGGTATTTGAACCCGCCTCAAAGTCGAAGTCACATTTTCAACTGACGGTCAGTCAGTCAGTCTTGGTGTCGAGCCCAATCTAGGGCTTATGACCAGATATTTATTACTGTTTGACAGTTTTGGTCTTGTTTTTGTGGGTCGCCCTATATTACAAGAGGACAGGTCTGTCTTTTGTCAGAGTTATTGCCTGCAGTAGTAAGTCATTTATCATAAATTTAATTGTTTCTTGCATCCTGTTGTGTATTTAATCAATATTAGAGTTAATTTTACAGACCACACAACACGTTTTTTATTTACTGTCACACTACATGTTTCGACCTCAAGAGGTCATCCTTAGGTGTACGAACACAGTTGCACAATCACACGCAATCACATTCGTTTTTCCACTTATTTTGATCCTGTATCCTGTTCAGGTCCACGCTCAATAATATGTGGCAAGTTCTTCTTATAAAATATAAGTTAAAAATACAAATGTTAAAAGTTAAAATTTAAAATTTAGTTCACTGTAACTAGTTATATTATTACCACTTGGTTAAAAAGTTCATGAATTAAACTTCAACTCATCACATTGACTGCACTTTCACTTTTGAAGGTCTTGTTGTTCTTCCGCGTCCTCTGATGTTGGATCTATTACGTTCCTTGTCATCCAGAGTAGCCATCATGACAAGGAACATAATGGATCCAACAACAGAGGACGCGGAAGAACAACAAGACCTTCAAAAGTGAAAGTGCAGTCAATGTGATGAGTCGAAGTTTAATTCATGAACTTTTTAACCAAGTGGTAATAATATAACTAGTTACAGTGAACTAAATTTTAAATTTTAACTTTTAACATTTGTATTTTTAACTTATATTTTATAAGAAGAACTTGACACACATTATTGAGCATGGACCTGAACAGGATACAGGACCAAAATAAGTGGAAAAACGAATGTGATTGCGTGTGATTGTGCAACTGTGTTCATACACCTGAGGATGACCTCTTGAGGTCGAAACATGTAGTGTGACAGTAAATGAAAAACGTGTTGTGTGGTCGGTAAAATTAACTCTAATATTCATTTATCATAATGTAAAGGATATTTACATTTTACATGTTAAACATGTTAATAAATGTATATAAAATACATACAGTGCCTCTGTCAGTCCAGGCTTAGTAGAGCAGATCATGCCCTATTCCTTGTAACTTCCGCTACAATGGCAGTCTAATCACTTGAACGGTCATATGCTTGGCCACTGCCAAGTTTAAGCTTCTTATACTTTCTATGTTGGGTTTCTCCTTGTTCAATATTGCGAACATTTTCATTATCATGATTTTGTATGACTTCTGGTTGTTGCCTGCACAATTATGTTATATAATCATATACGTATGGAATTTTGAAAGCCATGTGTAAATAGCAAACCGGTGTGTGCCTTGAAAAATTGCCAATGGTGCAAACCCACATGGAATTCAAAGTCAAAGACACATTGCGACCGATGGTCAGTCAGTCAGTCAGTCAGTCAGTCAGTCAGTTTTGGTGTCGAAGATATTTATTACTGTCTCTCTGACGAGTGGACGGGTCTGTCTTTTGTATATGCTGCTGGTCTTTCTCCCATATTTTACTGTCTCAGATGTGGCTCTTCCCTTTCGGTCGCCTCCTATGAGTCGCAGGGTCACGGTGGAGGTATTCGACCCCGCCTCAATAAGGGGTGAAACAGACCGGCTCCCACACAGGAACCTAGTTATATAGCCTCGGGGCGACCCCAACAAAACACACCGTTCCCTAAAAATCCTTTCACTGTTGCTTGCTTATTCGTTGACTAGGGAACGTGTTTACAGAGCCGTTGCCCAGTAATTAAAGTCTACTCTGTCTCCATTCCTCCTGCTTCCAAGCGTCATGTCACTATACCTTTAATTTCTTGAATACAGTTCTTTTAAATAAGATCCACGACATAACACAAAAACCCAAACCACATGCTTTTCTACTGTAAGACATTTTACGCTACTCATTCAGCAAAAAATGGCAGCTGAAGAAACAGGCTTTACGAAAATTAATTTGTTACACTTACCTTTAGCTTAATAACTTAATCTTAACCACAAACATTGACAACACACTACCAACAACTTCCACTTCCTCACTTTGAGTCACTTTGTTTGTACTACTCCTCCCATCCCTATCACAGATTACTAAATCCACAGATCCACACAGTGCCAGTCACAGAAGAAACGATCTACGCACCATAAACGCCATACACAACGAAAAGAACGGACAAGAATTACTTCCATAATTCTCTACCACGGATTACTGCAAACTGGATGTTAAAAGTCTGCCAAATTATTTCATGCGTTTCGATGCATGACTTGCATTCGAAAAGCAATATCGAAAATTAAGACGTGTACGAAGCCTTACGAAAAGCCAGTAAGTGGGCTGTGAAACGTAATGTCATTCATTGTTCAGATATTGCAAATAAAGACCGATTTGGTATACCAGAAAATTAACAAAATTCGTTACCAGGATCGTCAGGATCGTGATGACCAGCCCTGAGTAGGCTGAGGCACCAGAGGTACCTACAGTCTCGATTTCAACCCCCGAAGAAGGGGACAGCATTTTCCTAAAAAATTATTATGTCCCTCTCCCACATAACGCAGCGTCATATTCCAGACCGTAATCGTTTTCATAATGTGCATGTATTAACAGTCTTCAAGTGCATACAATCTCATTTACCACTTCTACACTATATGTTTCGGCAGTATGCTGCCATCTTCAGGTGTATCGATCCGTCAAATATTTCACTGCTTGTAAATACTATTTACAAATAATATTAAATTTGTAAGATTTGAGGCAGACCCTGCTTTCACCGGTTCTCACAGTCTCTTCGCTTGCGGATTTCTTATATTTTTCCTTCTACCCTTAAGATGGAGACGATACGTTCCTCCGAAACGTCGGTTAACACCACATATACAAGGTGCCAAATCCCAGAAGACTGCTTTCTTCAATATTAAATTTGTATACATCCTTATATAATAATAACCTATTATCTCATACGTCATATTTTAAATTCCTGTGTATTATTGATCATCCACATGGGAGTCGTTCTTCTTATGTGTCACATCCAACAATACAACGCATGCAGCCACAAGAGTAGAACACATCATAAGACATAATATACACACAACATTAGAAACGTAAGAACAACTCCCATGTGGATGATCAATAATACACATGAATTTAAAATATGACATATGAGATAATAGGTTTTAACAAGTTTTAAATACATAAATTTTATTATTATATAAGGATGTACACAAATTTAATATTATTTGTAAATAGTATTTACAAGCAGTGAAATATTTGACGGATCGATACACCTGAAGATGGCAGCATACTGCCGAAACATGTAGTGTAGAAGTGGTAAATGGGATTGTATGCACATACATACACATTATGAATATGAATCAGTGCAATAGGACGCTAAAATACAACACAGTTAACTGTAATCGTTATTTCAACCTCCGTGAAAACTTCAGATCTTATATGCTGAAATCAATAGCCACAGAGCACGAAAGATTAATTTTAGAAGTCGTCTGGAGAGACTACTTGGCCAATGTGTATAAAAAAGGTAAAGCTATCCCTGTAACAGGCCATAAGGGCACATAGGGTTGTGAGTTGTCGAGGCCCCCACATTTTCTCTAGACAACTGGCTCACAGATGGCATTATGGTTGTCAACCTTATGAGCCAGCCACCCTTAACCCCCAGGAAGATTCCTGGTACTCATTTCTGTTAGAGGCTGAACTGACCCAAGGGCCATAGTGCAGCTGAAAGGGTTAGGTAAATTGAAAAAATCCACTTAATCGGGACTCATACCTGCAACCTTGTAGCTTGTAGCATAGTGCCTCAACCAACTACCCTACTGCATGCCTCCGGCCAACGTGGATAAAGTACATAATACGAACTTTTCGACGAGCCGAAATTTGGTTCAATTATGCATAATTTAACAATAATAACTCACCTTGTTCAACCAGAGTATGGACCACTTCATACTACAAAAAAATCTAGATGCCTAAATAATTTAAATTTATAAAGTTGGTTACATAAATTTTACAAATAACTTTACATAAGATTACATTGTCAAACAGGGTAACGTTGTCATATCACTATTCAAGGCTGATGGGCTATCTATAATAAATGCATATTTAAACCTGATGTATCTACTGGTGCTCCATAGTGTTCCATTTTGATCTAATGTATATTTCATTGATGCATTTGAAAGGGAAGTTCAAACAGCAGTGTGTAAGATATGAGGAATGTATCGCCTCCATCTTCAGGGTAGAAAAATCTGCAAGGAATCAGCTTGAGCAGTTGGATGCAGACTGAGTCACCAGTCAATACAACACCTTTGTCAATGGGCCACACAGACCCAACAAGGTGAAGGACTTCATGAACCACCTAACAGTACCCAGCAGTGCATTCAGTTCACCATGGAGACCGAAATTGAGGGCCACCTCCCCTTCCTAAAGATATTTACAGGAGGTGTACCGTAAACCTACACATACGAACCTCTACCTTAATGCTGGGTCCCACCACCAACCATCCAACAAGCTGTACTTTCCACACTGGTGCACAAGGCTAGAGCTCTATGTGAACAAGACAGCCTACATGCAGAGTTGGTGTTCCTGTGGGACGTTTTCAGGCAGAATGGTTACAATGACCAGTAGATCCACAGAGTCCTCAACCATTGTCTGAATATCACTCAGCCCGACGATAATCCACCTCTGGAAAAGCTTGCAAGACACTTGGTGTGGACACATGTGGCAGCTCCTCTTTGCTCTTCTAATCACCTACTATCTCTGTTCGTTTATCTGAAATTCAGTTTTCACGGTGGTGAACTTCAAAGATACCGTATTCTGGGATGTGATACCATATGGTTTGATATGCACAATTCTACCCCAAAGATGGAGGCAGCATTTCCTCCAATATGACCCTCAAGACGGAGGTAACACATCCTACAAAAGTTGGTAGATGTGTCTATACTGAAGAGGCAGAAAGTAGGTTCATCCAGAACAATGATGCCTACCACATAAGAATGTGATCGTAATATTATTTTGATTCATACTTACATCATACAATTTGAAGATGGACGATAGGTAAACTGCCTGTGCTTAAATTAAGTACGTGTACTACACCATAAAGACACATGGTGAAGTGGAAGTATAGCTCCATGAATTAACTTTGGCACCAGATGGAGGTGAATGGTTAATTTAAGTCCTGGCCACTTTATCCATGTGCAAAAAGCCCTCAGTACCCACTAGACAGCTGGCTGGGTGGGATTTGGAGTCAATCTGAACACAACAAAGAGAAACATCTCTTGTCCATGCTGGGAATGGAACCCCAGTTTCTCAGTTGACCAACCTGTGGCCTTGTTAACTACACTGAGCTACTCCAGTTCCACCATTTTCTAAGAATACTTCAAAGAATACTTCACGCAATAGCATCTGAAAGAAAAACGAGCTTTAGATATACAACAGACACAGTGCAGTGGCCAGCTTGGATGCTTTTAAATTTGATTTTACTAATTTAGTTTTTCCCAGTGTATAATCATGGTTCCATTTTGCCTTGTAGTGAAGTTAATGATATAATCTGGTATTGTGATGCGATGACCTATGTCATTATCTGATGATGATGACACACTCCCAAGGATATTAAGACATTGTATGCATAGAATTCGCTGAACAGAATCTCTTCAAAACCACTTACAAGACTACATGACATCATAAAGCAGAAGAAAATATAAAGTTTCATGGCTGTGAAAATTTCATAATGAAATTTGTCTGGACGACTACAATGAATTTAACAAATCAAAGATGAAGTATTGTAATGGTTTTATGTATAATTTTTAAACTTTCACAGAAAATAAATGTAATAAATTCTACTCAGGTGATCAGCCATATCAAAGTTGAGTTAAAAACCCACATTTCAGAGATCTCTGTCTCCTCCTATATCATCAGGGTTGATGTGAATGTCAAAGCCAAAGTCACCTTACAATTGACGGTCAGTCAGTCAGTCAGTCTTGGTGTCAAGTTCCATCTGAGCTTAATGACCAAGACATAATCTTGGTCCGGACAGTAACTGTTTTGTCTTTGCGAAGCATCCTCACCGACAAGAAGACAGGTCAGTGTCAGTCTGTCCCTTGTCAACAGCTTGGGATTGTCAAGCACATGTATAGACAGGTGCAATTTTACAAACATGTATAACACATGATACTTTTGATGTATATTTATACTCTTTACAATATATACAAGAGCTCTGACAGTTCAGGCTCTGTACAGCAGATTATGCCTTACCTTATGTAGCTTATGTTACAGCATGGCCTGTGTTTCAAACATTAGCATTTTCATGATTTTGCATTTTGGGGCACATGGTAGACTTCATAATGTAGTTTTTATAACGCGAAAAAACGCTTTTTCGGCTAAAACGGAGGTTTACGCATTCTTCTATATCTCGATAACTATTGATGCTAGAGACTCCAATATAAAACCAATTTCTTCCTCATGATATGGACTATAATTCAGGTCATTACAAGTTTTCACTTAACTCACATCGTCTAGGTCTAATTAAGCTTGAAACTTACCTATCGATTTTGGGGAAAACGCTATTTTTGACCTTCAGAAACCAATGGGAGGGGGAAAGTATCAGATCTGTGGTTTCTACCCTTTGTTTTTNCTTTCCCCCTCCCACTGGTTTTTGAAGGTCAAAAATAGCTTTCTCCCAAAACTGATAGATAAGTTTCAAGCTTAATTAGACCTAGTGGAAGTGAGTTGAGTAAAAACTTGTAATGATATGAATTATAGTCCATATAATGAAGCACAAAATCTGCTGAAAACGTGTTCTTTCACATTATATAAACGGCTGTACCAGGAGAACCGATCAGATTAAAAATTATTCAAAAATATTTTTAAGTATGAAAATATGTAGAAATAAGTGTTAAAAATTTAATTTTTTTTTTTAAAGTGGTCGAGCGACCTATCTGGATGACTTCACATGGAATGACCCTAAGTCTTTACAGATCTGATGAGTGCCTTGTGAAGCGTTAATTTAATATTAGTGTTCAACTGCTTAATTTTGAATATGGAATAGATTATAATAAATGTTATGAGGGCCTTGGCTTCAATCATTTCTATCCATAGTCCCCGTGTAATTCTTTTATCATAGATAAACTGAGATATGTCACATGATTAACCAGTGGTGAAGAGTACAAACTCCATAGCAGTAAACATGACTAAGAAAATCTACAATATCTGTAAATGTGATGGGAAGATGAAGTAGCTCTTGGGTTACTTTTGATGTACTCTTTCTATTACATAAACTATAGATGATCAAATGACATGCAAATATAAACACGAATGGTGAGAATTTGCAAAAATGTAGTAATGGGTCATCTGAAGGCACTGTCTTGGTATCTGGAGAGACTGAGGAAAAACAAATTTCTCAGGGTAATCAGTAACATGGATCAGATCTGAACCAGGTATGTTACCAATAGAAGTCTATACGGTTATTGCTACACCAACCTACTGGTATGATGGGAGGAGAAATTATAGGGAACAAAACTGATGTTACAAACATCCTACCAGAATAAACACTGTGGATCATTAATCAACATGTCAATATCTATACATTCCAATTTATTTGACAGCCCTTACAAATATAATTGATGTCACACTATTCCTTCATTTTAAATAGAAATCTCTCCTCTAGCTTGCCTGGTTACTTTAAAATAACTTACCCAACAGCACAGTATTTAATACCTAGCTGGCTTAAAAAACTAGTGTTTCTATATACAGAACAAAGTAAATCTCTGAAACTTCATTTCTCTTCCTTTGGTCTGTATTAAATTCCTGTTCCTTCCCTCAGTTAATTCCTGGAATGTATACACCACCTTTAGAAAAATCAACATCACAAAATTACATTACAAAATACTAAAATTCACAACACTTCACTGAAATTATTTTTACACATCAACCCGTTGTAATGACTGAAAGACTTACGTAACAAGTCATTCACAATGTTTTAAGCAACCCGAGTGCTACAGCCATGTGCATCTTACATCATGGTCACAAGAATGGCGATTGTGAGACCAGTTTGTGCTGTTTTGCTCTACAGAAGGATCATGCTAATAGTAAGAATCATGATGGTGTTACAGCAGCAGATGGTGTAAGTGGAGATGTCATAACTCAGTCATCAGATCCTGCTGACCGTTTTGCCTTTCTCTGTCGAGGGCTCTGCTTCGGTGCTCGTGGAGATCTTTCTGCAACAGCAGTGTCACATATCTGTTACTTGTATAGTGATATATTCCAAAACTGTTAGTCTTTCTTAGCTCTGAAATATAATGGTGGAGTTCCAAACCAATACTAAATAAAAATGAGTAATTTTGTACAGTTCACGAACAAGATAAAACCAAAGAAATTTCATAATTACTGCTTTGTCTAAATGCCTACAATGAAACTGATCTATTCTCTGGTTAATTAATGACAAATCCAATTTCAGATGTTATGTAGTGCGATATGAAATAGAATGATAATGAAGAATGTGAGGTAGATATGAAAATAAAAATGACCATGGTCTATTTTGAAATATCCCAGGACATCTGGAGAGACTGAGGAATACCACAACAGCCAGTAACCTGGCCGAGAGATGAACTGCATATTTCTGAAATGCAAACCCAAATTTTCAATTATTTTTGTCTGAGTCTTACAAGGTTCGTTTTATGCGGGACACAGATATCTTTACTCTAGACCATCAAGTGTTTTATCCTTCTTGATAAGATCTTCAGCATTTCCTAATGTAGTTGTTTCACAGTGAAATACCCTTACCTTCACACAGATACCATGGTTTCACTACTGACAAAGACTGGGTGACAACAAAAATTTTGAGAACATGCAAAAAGATACTGAATGAACATAGAATTTTGACTCTGTACGTGAATCACATTTCAATTGTTTTTGGATATTACAAGTACTTGTTATTAAGAACATTAATAGTTATATTAAAGTTGCATTTATTAAAGAACACCTTTTAAACATAACATTTATTATATTAATTTCATTCTTGAAGTCAGTAACCTTTATGCAGCTCTGCCAGTCTCTCTCTGCTCACCATTCCTATCGTCTGTATCAAGTGCCTTCACAATTCTCACCTTCTTCTCACATTTACTGTTCAGACTCTCATTTTCACTGCCAACATTTCCAACTTCTTCTGCCTATTCCACGAGGTATACAGCACATTTTAAATCTCAAGAATATCACTTCTGGAGAGACTCGTTGCCATTGTCTCGATCCACTGGCAAAGCAGTGATATACTGGGCTCCTTTGTTGTCCCAGTGGCAACAGAACATGGTCTCCAAGAACCATCTGAAATACAACTGTTTCAAATGATCCTTAAAAAGTTTTTTTTTTTACTAGAATATGTACTTCCAGATATGACCACAAGGTCAGCACTCACTGCAGTGTTAAATGACCTTCAGATGTATCCAGCACAAACACTCTCTGATTTTGCACTAGTGTAGTTGGTATAGCGACTGGCTACGGGCTGGACGACCAAAGGGTCAGAGTTAAAGTCCTGGTAGGGTCAAGAATTTTCTCTTCTCCATGTCATCCAGACTGGCTCTGATGTCAACCCAACCCCTTATCCAATGTGTACTGTGGACTCTTTGCTCGGGTGTAAAGCAACCACAGTGTGAAGCTGACTATTCACCTCAAGCTAGTGCCGAGGTCAAGACAATATGGATCTATACATCCACTCCCCCATACACCTTCATGGCATAGTGCTTAATTAGATAAGCACAGGGACAACTTTACCTTTTACTCTTGGTCTTCTGTTCCAGGCAGTTTTTAATACCTCCCCCTTCAGTTCATGTTGTCATCCACCCACAATCTGCACATGATTATTACACAGCTGTGCCTCATGCATAATTTCTTGATTTAATATCACCCCCTTTCCATTGTTGTAGTCCAACTGTTGCATTATTAATAATCTGATGCCTATCTGAGCCACTATTTAGAGCCACTACTTAGCAATGGGTATATATGCCACATTATGTTTCATGAAATGGTCTCTAAGGCTGCAAAACAACAATATTTGCCTAGAACTTGCATAATTTTGTGTTTCTGTTGCTTTCATGTTGCGATCCTTGCATCAGGAGGAACTGTATTTTATTTCTGCTTAAGTTGCTCATTCTGTATGTTTAATCACCATAATCACAACTGCCTAACACTTTTTGAAAAGTTCCCTCTTGCAGCTGCACCACGTTACTTGACATGGTCTGCCACTTTCATGGTGAGGGAACTTGTGCTGGCACAGAGTTCTGTGATATGTACTGGGTAATTTTGTTTCTGACTTGGTGCTTCAGGCAACCTCATAGTAGCTCATGACTTATTACCTTGAAAGATACTTCTGTCTCGATTTTTCTTCTCACAGCATGTGCATCTTGACATACACGTGCTAAAATCTTAAAAGAATATCAAAGTCTAAGAGTCATGGTCACCAGTACTTCACTAATTTTAAGAAGGAAGGGGGGACACTTGTTTTCCATTCTGACAAATATGATACTGATCCTTTTTAACACTAAACCCCAACATATGAAGCAAATGAAAATTCATATAGTTTGGGAGGAAAAACTGAAAGTATGAACTGAGATTGACAAACTACTTTTATCGATTTCATCCTGAAATTTTGAGATTTGCACACTTAATATGTACTTTGTTATACAAGTTACTGTACACATGCCAAGATCAGTAACAGACGGAAATCATTTACAGTGGATGTCAACAGAGGTAACACTTCTGACTTGTATTTAGTAAGTGCTCAGTTTGAATTTCAGCCAGTGCACCAGTTATCTTGGTGGTGGTTTTCGTGGCTTTCCTCAGTCCCTCCAGGTAAACGCAAGGACTGGACCTAGATTAGGTCATGGCTGCTTCCTCAAAATTCTTTCCAATCTGTCTTGTCCGATGCGACGCAGTCTTCATACAGAAAGCATCATTAACCCTTTGACGTGGTCATTTAAATTCCGCGGCCGCGGCTCCTGCGGTAATATATTCAGCCGGCCATTTAAATTTTGCTCGAAAATTATTTATTCATCATTGTTCTTAAATTCTATGAGATAGGAACATGAAACTTTCACTAAAATGATCTTAAAAGGTGGTTTTATAACCTTACCTTATAATATGAACCCCCTTTATATCTTCAATGGAAGCAGGTTGTTTAGTATTTGAGCAGTGAATGGTACGCTTTGAAGGATGAAACTTTCACTAAAATGATCTTAAAAGATGGTTTTATAACCTTGCCTTATAATATGAGCACCCGGTATCTCGGCTATGTAAGCAGGTGACGCCTTGAAGCATTAGTCTAAACACAGCGCTGGCTCACATTCACCAAACCAATACTGCGTATCTTTACTTTTGCTTTTTTTTTTCTAACCACACTTCTGTGCGGCCCTGCCTTCTTCCCCGTGGGGGGAATACAAGTGGAAATGTCCCTCCGTGAGTCGTATATTTTGACAGATTAGCTGCAGTAAATTCAACCTTTGTGTTATCATAAGAAGGGTTTGGTGCTTCTGCGTTTCAGATTCCAACCTTTTCGGCTCCCCAGATGTCGTAGGGGTGACCACAGAATTCATGAATTTATTATAAGAACTGGCTGGTATATAGAGGAAGAAAGCAGAGCTTAGCTGGCTCAAAAAAAATAGTTATGGTCATCCCTCGAAACGACCACCAAGGTCAGTACGATAAAATGGCGTCAACTGGAGCGATAATGAGTACTTTTCCCTCCCCCACACACATCCGTATCGTCTCAGGGGGTGACCACAGTGTTCTGCCTTAAATTGTGGCGTTTTTCTCAGAACTGGGCCTTTGTACTGTGCGAAATCAATGGATCATGCGAGAATAAATTTCTGGACAACCCTATTCTAAGAATTCCAGTTGAGTGTGTCAATGTGGCCAGCTCAGGGCAATATGATATCATATACAACAGTAAACATCACGTCTCTTCTGTTTCATGATTTGTTTTCATGATTTGTTTCATGATCTGTTTATATCTTCAAAGCAAAGAAAACACGCTTTCATAACAGTACAGCTAGAAACCGCTCGCCAGAACCACAGGAACTTTGCTGCAAGACAGGCATATGTAACGATGTCTTGGCGCAGATAAAGTCGTGTCTTATTTATACTCTGTTCTACTGACAACAGGCCAGCGAAAAATCTAACAATCTACAGCAAAACCATCGATTGTTATGGGCGTTATAACATAGGTGTGCAGCTGAACGAAACATACACGTCGAACCCCCCCAGACGATTTAAATCCCTGACGAAACATACACGACGAACCACGGCAACGGGTTAAATAACCCACATACACGGGCAAGAAACTGAAGACAATATGACAGGCAGAACTGATTTCTCATTCTGAACTTGCTTCAGAATCTAAACTGTGATTTGTCTTTAGTGTAGGCACTTTCTCAAGGCTACCATTAAGTGAGGGCAAGTTCCATCTACCGATGCTGGATATTCTGAAACCACTATACAAACTATTATGTTTTACAGCATGACATGTGCTTGAACTCCCACTCAAAGTTATTTGTTTTGACAGCAGACTTGTCATGCCACTGGTTCCCTGTAGCTTCTGCTGCTCCACTGGAGGAACTGGTGTGGGGGGGGGGCACTAGAATCACAGTTAGAAACAATCAGCAAACAAGAGCGATGCATGGTAGGAGTTGGTTTGGAATCAGCATCCACTGTGACATAGGATCACAGTGTGCTAAATCATTAACCTGGATACATCATTATGTGTTCATGTATGTAGTGGATATGTCATAACATGATTCAGCAATAAGCAGCTATACTAACAGCCACTGTAAATCTAGTATCTGTGAGGCTGCTACAGGTACTGTATATCATAGATATTCAACTTACCATCATTAGCAACATTCAGTGTAAGGCTACTGACAAACTTTAGGATCCAGTAAGATGTTTACTAGGTCTCTCATTCAGTGAGACCACAAGTTATTCACACTTTGTCATTCAAGTACAATTTCAACTCAAATTACTTTCAAAGAGAAATTTAATAATTTATGGACATTAAGGCACCTTTTCAAATTAGGATTAACCAACAATCCTGCTTGTAAAAGGTGCCTGGAAGAAGATGGATAAGCCATAGATGTCCAATGCGACTGCGAGGCAATAGCTTACCTCAGATTTCGTCACTTAGGACACAAATTTTTGGAATCAAGTGACTACGAAGATGCTCCCTTAACTAAAATAATACACTCTGTTCACAGTGTATGATTGTTGAGGGGATGCACAATAAATCACTGTCACAGAACATGACATTATGCATTAATTACTGTTAGTTTATTATATAGCATCTTTCACTTTTCTACTAATGTTTGTGTGCTGTGTTTTGTCTTAACGTGTTTATGTGTGTTATTTGTCTGTTGTCTTATTGTAGTACCACTGCCACTGGGTGAACACCCATTTGCATTTAAATAATAATAATTCAATTCAATTCATTTTTATTTACGTGCAAAAACTTAACAGCACATTGGCCAATTACTAAGTTAGCATGAGTATATAAGGTACAGAAAATAATAAAAACAAAATACAAATATGACAAATAAATCTGTGAGCATTAATCTAAAGAAGACTTAAATATATACATACTACATTTATGAATTATTACGAGTGTTGCTAATACTATTAGTAACTAAATACTAAGATAAGACAATTGAGTAATAAAATTTATAACAAGTCAATAAATTAAATCCAATTACGTAAGAAAATTAACGTTAGCCGAGGTACACACATTTGTAGTTAATGAAAACACTAATCCAGTAGCACCATAAAAGGTTTGGTACATGCTTGTAAAATATGATTCAGAGAAACCGCTCCATCTGCAAATATGTCCAGATCTTTACCCACCACGTTGGTAGCAAGGGCACACCGAGAAGAGGGACAATGTCTTTTTGAGGGATGAACACTGAAAGTAGAGAAGTCTTGAACATGACAAGTAGGAACACAAAGACTAGCATTATCCAGAAGGGAGGAGCAGGATTTAAGGCCACGATAAACCTGAATGAAGAAAAGTGCATCAAGAAGATGTCTACGCAGACTCAGAGGGTGCAATCTTAGTCTCTCTAAGGCAGATGTATAACTATAGGAGCTATGTGGGAAGTAGCGATAAAAACAGACAGATGCAAACTTTTTTTGGATGCGCTCAAGTTTTGCGGAGTCAGTAGACGTGATAGAATTTCAAGCTACCGAGGCATATTCCAACTTGGACCTGACTAGTGTAAGATAACAGCATATATAAACAGTCAAGAGAAGAAAATCTAAAAGCTATTGGGCGTATAAGACCTAGCAGCTTTATACATTCGGAATATAAAAAATCAACATGATTGTGAAAATATAATTTAGAATCAAAGAAAACACCTAGGTCCTTAACGCAACTGGTGCGTGTAATAGCAGTACGACAAAGCTGATACCCATAGAGCAGGACATTAGTCTTCCTTGAGTACGACAAGACACGCGATTTGTTGATATTAATACTCATGGAGTTGGCAGAGCACCAATCACTGACATGATGAATGTCATTTTGAAGTAACAGGCAATCCTGTGGAGTGTCGATGATGCGAAAAATTTTGAGATCATCAGCAAAGATTAGAAAATGGGAATGTCTTATCGAGTTACAGAGGTCATTAATGAATACATTAAAAAGAAGGGGCCCCAGGACAGAGCCTTGCGGCACCCCGGAAGTTACTCTAAGAGGCTGGAAGAGAGCATCAGACACACGGACCCAAGATCTCCTGTTAGCTAGGTAACTGCCAAGCCAGTTAAGGTATCCATCAGAAAATCCAAGGGAGCTGAGCTTATGCACTAGCAAAGTATGGGGCACGAGGTCAAAGGCACTAGAAAAATCAAAATAGACAGAATCA